ATTTAGTTTTATTTCAAATAATATACATTTTTCTGTTATAAAAATATTAACTTTCTTTTGTAATTTATTTGTTACAACACGGCATACTTGAATGACATTTCGACTGACACTGGACCTTATTTTTATGCATAAATATTTGTTGCTTTGACAGTTTTTTACAAGAACATTTTACAAAACCTTGGCCTGTTCCTTTTTCTCGGTAGCTTTAACATTATTAACATCACTTATCAACTGCTTATACCGTTCGTCTGATAAAAATATACTGTTTTTTGCCATTGCATTTTTAATTTTAGAAAATTCGGAAAAAATCTATCCCTTGTCACTGAAACATTTCCTATTTCTGCACTCATTTTAAGTTCAAATTTATGTTTCTGCGACTGATTACCTCAAAATGTGAGAATTGACTGACAAAATTTGTATTTTCTGTTAATTAAGTATTATTCTTAAGAGTTAGAAATATTGAACTTCATTGTATAAAATTACTCACTGCTAACATGCAGCTATGTAAACATAGCTAAAATACTTATTGTTATATACTTATTATTTTCTATTTGTAATAGAAAAATCGTGGAAAGTGTTTATAGAAAAAGGTAGACGTTTCAAGCTGCTGAGACTATTATATACTTTACCTTATGCTCGATGGGCATTTTATAAAATACCTAGGAATTTTATAAAATGCCTAGGCAATATATGAAAAAATAATTTAATTATATACATTGCCTGAAATGGACAGGCTTTTTATATACTGCCTAGGCATTTTATAAAATGCCTGGATTTCATACTTTGCCGGTAACATATACAAGAATTAGTACAAGAAAAAATAATTATTTTAATTCAATCTTCGTTGGTAATTATAGTTTTTCTGTATCGAGTAATTATTTAGAAAAAAGGAAACTACTTTTTACTGTATATTAAAAGTTCATTCTCCTTAGTTGTTTTTGCGCGTGCCAATAAACAGATAGAGAAACTAAAGTTTGCCAACTTCTATTCATAATAATATGTATAGTATCCGCTTGAATGTATTATTATTCTCATCATCATTCCAAGGAAATTTTAAAAATAGATGTTACACAACACAAGCGCCACTTAATTCACTCTATGATTATATATTATTTCGATTCGATTTGAAAATTAATCGATTAATTTTCACTATATTATATTGCACTGAAGAACTCATTTATTTGATTTAAATCACTATAATTACTCGAGACTATTAATTTATCATTTCAACTATTTATCAATCTTCAAATAAATATTAATTAGAAAAGCAAATAAATTTTATTCTATAAATTTTTTTGTTTATAAAAAAGAATAATACAGTAACTATTACTATACTTTCATAGTAAAACTCAAAATATTAGAAATTTTCCAACTATTTTTGGAGTTTTATTTATTTCTGCATTTTTACTATAACAGGGTTGCCACAAAAATTTAATTCTGTTTTTCCCTGACTTTTTTCTGACTGATTTTGACTTTTTCCCTGAACCTGAAGAATATTCTTATTCACTCCAAAAATTATTAGATACTCAATAAAATGTTCTACTACATTTATTTACAAATTTCTTCAAAAGTAAAATTATTCCAAAACATCCACAACTTCTTTTTTAAATAAATATTTAATCATTATTATTTTTCCATAGAAATTAAGATTTTCAAATTCAATAACTTATAAGAATATTTCTTCATGTTTTATAATAAATTTAATATGAGAAAATAATTGAATTCTTGCAACGAAATTTATTAAAAAAATTTTTAAACAATTGAATTCCTATAAAGAATTTTATTTCCGAAAATAATTGAATTCCGGAGAAAAATATTATTTTTTATGAAATTAATTATAATTTTTTGTGAAGAATCTTATTCAAATTTTTAAAATAATTGAATTTCTCAGAATCTTTTAAAACTTTTTTGAAAATAATTAAATTCAATCGAGAAATTTCATTAAAAAATTGAAAATAATCGAAATCTGACGAAGAATTTTATTAAATTTCTTTTTAAATAAGTAAATTCCTTTAAAAATGTTTATTTTCGAAAATAATTGAATTATTGGGGAAAATTTTAGTACAATTTCTTAAATAATTGATTTGTTTCGAAGAATTTTATTATTTACGAAAATAATTGAATTGTTTCGAAGATTTTTACAAACATTTTTGACAATAATTGTATTCCTAGGAAGAATGTTATATTTGACGAAAATAATAAATTGCATTCTATGATCGATTTTATTATAATTTTTCAAATTTACATAAAGCATTTTATCAAAATTTTTTTAAATAATTGAATTCTCGAGAAAATTTTTATTATTTATGAAAATAATTGATTTCTTGCGAAGAACTTTCTTTCAATTTTTTAAAAGAATTGAATTCCTAAGAAGAATATTGTAATAAAAATAATAGAATTTTATAGGAAATTTTTATTAAAATTGCAATTTTCCTAAATCTTATTAAGAATTTTCTCAACATTTTTTTAAATGATAGAATTTTTAAAGGAATTTTATATAAATTTTTCGAAATAATTGAATTTCTCAGGACTATTTTGAATTTTTTTTTCAATTCTCTGAATACATTTGAATTATTTCGAGAAACTTTATTAAAAAATTAAAAATAATTGAATTGGTACGAAGAAATTTATAAAAAATTGTTAAGTAATTGAATTTCTGTGAAACTTTTATTAAAATTTTGTTGAAATAATTTAATTATTTTGGAAAATTATATTAAAATAGTAGATATTAAAAATAATTGAAATGAGGAAAATTTTTGAAAATAATTGAAATTTTGACATGAATGTTATTAAATTTTTTGAAATTTACAAGTATTTCTGCAGTTTTATTCATTTTATTTATTTATGCATTTTTACTTTAATTTTGGAGTAAATTCCCCCCCCCCCCTTTTTTTACTAAAATTTACTTCTAGAAAAGTAAAAAATTAGTACAAAAATAAATTTTTACTTTAATTTCGGAGTAAAACATTTTTACTAAAATTTACTTCTAGAAAAGTAATTCTGAAGTAATTTTCACTAAAGTGAAAGTAATTTTTACTAATGCTAAAGTAAATTTTACTAAAACAAAAGAAAATTTACTAATGTGGAAATAAATTTTACTAAAACAAAAGAAAATTTACTAAAGCGGAAGTAAATTTTACTAAAACGAAAGTAAATTTTACTGATGCAGAAGTAATTGCTACAAAAGCGAAAGTAAATTTTACTAAAATATGAAGTAATATTTTCTAATATAGAATTGTAGTAGTAAATTTTACTAAAACAATTTTATTATATAGATTAATTTCGTAATTATAATTAATTAAGTATAATTACCTACTTTTAATTAATGAAGTTTAATGAATAAATTTTAATTACTACCATTAATTTCCTACTAACAAAACAAACATTTATTTACAATGAAAAATATTTGAGAACAATTATTTGATAATGAAATTTGTTCTCAGTGCGCCTAATAAACAATATTATGCAAGCGGAAGAGTATAAAATAAAAAATTCACATCATTGTTATGTCAATCGTTTTCGATTACAAAAATAAAAGCAGAGGCAAAATAATGATGAGAGCTGCGGGAGAAATCTAGAACACACATACTATAAAGCGAAAGTTTTTACCTTTTTCGTCAAATAAATGGAAACCAAGAGTTATAAAGCAAGATATTTGGTATTTAAACTGGTATTTTATAATGTACTGCTGCGGCTTTAATTGTATATCATGAAGAAAGTATATTTTAACGAGACAGATGGGTAAATTAGTTTTCCTCGAGTTTAATAATATCTCATTAAATTGCGAACATCATAAAAAATGAAAGAGCTTTAAAATTCAAAAGTGCTCTTTATCTTTGGCCCTTGATCTTCTTTTTCACTGCATTAAAGCCTATCATCAAGAGAGTGAGAAAAAAAGTTCAGCGATAGAGAGAGAAGGTATTGCCCTCGTTACTGAGTTTTACACTCTTATACGATTAGAAAATCGCTCTTTCATGAAACTGCTAAGAGACTGCACTGTGAGAAATTAGGTGTTCAAGTTACACAATATCTAAAGAATTTTCATCCCTTTATTTATTTTTTTTTTTAAGAAAATTGATTTAAAGAAAAAAAAGAAACGCTTATGAAAGATTTATTTTCTTGATCTGAAATACTGTATTATTAAGATCCATATATATTAATCGTTCGTTGTGGCACCTCACGTATTCAACCTTTTACTCTATACGACATCCTCATAATCTTCAATACTTTCTATTCTCTTCTCGTTCTACATCTACATTTCGAGTAGGGAATTTATATATACATATATATATATTTTAAGCTTTTGTAAAACAAACTCGAGCATCTTTTTTTGAATTACATTACAATGCTTTTGGCTCGAGCATCTTCTTTTTCTTTTTCTAATGCTTTTGTTTTCTAGTCACGCGTTTGTACTTACGGGATTCTGTGACAAGATTAGTTTTGTTTACACGAATAAAAAATGTAGTAACATTATACAAACTTCTGACTGCTTTTGCCTGCGCTTTTGCCCCAACTTCTCTTTAATTTTTTGCGTAAATAAATACAAAAGGTAAAAATGATCAAAGAAACTTAGTGACAAAATTTACAAAAGGTTCAAAAAGCAGAAAAATTTACAACTGCAAACTAATGATTTCAACAAAAGAAACAAGGCACTTTTTCTTCTAAAAATTAATTGTTGATTCGAGTATATAAAAAGGTTTTTAATTTCTTTTACGAATACAGTGGAAGTGTAAATAATTTGTAAAATCAGTAGCTGAATGGTTGTATAAGGTGAAAAAAAACCAACAACTGTTAAAAATTTCCAGCGACCTTTTTAACAAATAAATAGTAACAATAAATCATTTCTCTCCCAGTGTATAATTTTAATCAAATTAAACCCAATTTTCTTTCTTCCGACAATACATGCACTACATTGAAATCACAAAAATCAAAAATATTTTTCTCTCCTTTTTTTGGACAATGATTAATGATTGTTTGTTTGTTTGTGTGTTTTTTCACAGGTTCTGCATCAATTGAACACAAAAACGGAAATGGCAGCGTCAAGGGTAACAAGACGAACAATAATGGGGCCGAGGTTAATCGAAATGAAGATCATAATGGTTCCATTGACATAAAGTCGCAGGCAAAGAAGAAATCAGGAGGACCTGGAAGTGGCCCTTTGCTACAACAAGCGTAAGTTCACTTACTTACACAGCCATTAGTTAAAGGTAATTAATGAAGAAAAAATGCATTGAGCAAAAGCTATTAAAAATTAACGTATTCGAAAAATATTTCTAAAAAAAAACTGTTCGAAAAAAAACTATTCAAATAGAAAAAAAAAATTTTCCTTCCTAAATAATCAATATTTTCTTCTTGCATTGTCATATTCATTCTTTACGAGAGCTTTCATTTTTTTCTTTTTTGTGAACCTATTAAATTTCAAGCCTTTTTTTTAAATGCACCAAAGTGCCAACTACTAATAATGAAACTCATTACATTTCCGACTGTATAATTACCTCACTATTTAAAGTCACTAATTAAATTCTCTTCTTATTATTTCTTTTTTTTTTTTTAATTAAGAAACCTCTTAAAAATCTAGTTCTCTCTATAAAGACCGAGAATTTATTGAAATTTAATTTTAAAATTATTTATTCTTTAATTATTTATCTATAGATAAATAATCAAAAAATAATAATTATTATTATTTTAATATTAAAAATATTATCTGATACCTAATTTATTATTTCTTAATAATACAATAAACAAATAATCAACTTTTTTTTTAACAAAAATATTTTTTCGAAATTAGAAAATTTTATTTACGCTATTGATATTATTTTTTATCGCTAAATCTTTATTATAATTTGCAATATTTTTATTTACAGAGAGATATCTTCTAGTCAATTGGATTTCTTCAAAATGCTTGACGAAAAAATTGAAAATGTAAGTTAGAAAAGCAATAATTAAAATTTTCTAGTATTTTTTTTTTGAACTTATGCTAAAAAAAGGGAAAAATAAGAATTAATTAATGCTTTTAATATTCATTTATAATTAAAAATTTTGAAATTAATTTTTTAATCAATTTTTATTAGTAAATTATTCCAGAATTCAATTATTTAAATACAAAAATAAATAATTTATTCAATAATTGAATATTTCTTAAAATCCAATTTTTATGAAGAATTTTATCAAAATTTTTAAAAATAATTGAATTCTTTCGGCGAATTTAAAAAAAATTTAATAATAAATTCAATTTTCTATCATTTTGTTTAAAATTGTATAAAAAAAATAATTTCTTGTAAAGAATTTTATTCAAATTTTTTTAAATAATTGAATTTTTTAAAACTTTTTGAAAATAATTAAATTCCATCGATAAATTTCATTAAAAAATTGAAAATAATTTAAATCTGACAAAGAATTCAAAAAAAAAAATTTTTAAATTGAAATCCTGTGAAAATGTTTATTTTTGAAAAAAATTGAATTCTTTTTTTGAACTTATGCTAAAAAAAGAGGAAAATAAAAGAAGTTGAAGAAAAAGAAATTTAATTTTTAATAATTTCTTATTAAAATTTAATTTCTTTTCATACAAAAAATTCTTGCAATTTAAAACCTGACTTTTCTTCAATTTTAAATTTGAAAAAAAAACATACTTCTCGCTGTGAGACGTGCCATTTTCTATACTATGTTCAAATATACATACCAGTCGTACTTGACCGTTCTTTGCTAATTTTGACTAAATCTAAAAAGTCTACAGCGTTTATCTTCTAAGAGCTAAACACGTCAGACGAATACCTATTAATTTATTTTAATAATCAAAGAAACACCATTATTTAATATTAAAAAAAATATTTTAAAAAGTTCTTCTCTAAAATTCAATTATTTTCAAAAATTTTAATAAAATTTTTGGTAAAATTTTAATTATTTTCACAAATTTTAATAAAATTTTTGGTAATATTTCAATTATTTTCACAAATTTTCCTCAATTCAATGATTTTCAATTTCTACTGTTTTAATAAAATTTTCCAAAAGAATTCAAATATTTAAAAAAAAATTTAAATAAAATTCTACGCAAACATTTAATTATTTTGATAAATAATAAAAATTTCACAGGAATTCAATTATTTACCAATTTTTTATTCATTTCTTATTAATAATTCAATTATTTTCAAAAATAATAAAATTTTTACAGGAATTCAATTATTTTCAATTTTTCATAAATATGAAAATTCCTTTTAGGAATTCAATTATTTTCATAAATAATAAAACTCATCAAAAGAATTGAATAATTTAAAAATTTGTTGATAAAATTCTTTATGGGACTTCAATTTTAAGAAACATTCAATTATTCAATAAAGTTCATTTTCGAATTTAAATAATTAAATTTTAGTAGAATTTTTTAAATAAAAATTGATTAAAAAATAAATTTTAGTTAAAATTTTAGATATTTAAATATTCTCTATATTTAAAAATTTGTAAATAATTCTTGTAAAAATTCAATTATTTAATTATTTTAAAAAAAATTTAATAAAATTCTACGCAAACATTTAATTATTTTCATAAATAAAACTCATCGCAGGATTTCAATTATTTTTAATACAATTTTTATCGAATTTCTCGAAGAATCTAATTATTCTTAGAAATTTTATTAAAATTCGTCAAAAGAATTTAATTATTTACAAATTTGTTAATCAAATTTTTTATGAGAATTCAATTTTTAAAAAAATTTATTTTTTTAATAAATAATTTATTTTTGTATTTAAATAATTGAATTCTCGTAGAATTTTCTAATAAAAATTAATTTAAAAATGAATTTCAGTTTAAAAGTAAACAAATAAAATTCATTAAAACATAAAATTTATTTTAATAAAATTTTACAAAACTTCCAATCTTTTCAATTTTTAAAAAATTTCAAAAATCTTTTTTAATTCAAGTAAAATTTTAATTAATACTTTTCAAAAACCTAAGTTTTTTAGAATTTCCAAATTGAATCTTCCAAATTTAAATCATTTTTGTAAAATAAATATTTAAATTCTTATTGTTCTCATTTTTTGCTTAAAATTTCGAAATACTTTCAATGTAAAACAATTTGAAATATTTTTTTTTGAAAATTGAAACTGCAATTCTTCCTAAATTCAATTATATTTTCTAAAATGTTTGACTAATATTATTCAAAACTTTTAATTTTCAAAGAAGCTAACTTTTACTACATTCATAGAACCTGCGCATTTTTGGCAATTTTTACTATTTTTGGAGTAAATTTTACTCTACTTCGAAATAAATTTTACTACACAGAAATAACAAAGTCTGAAACCGCGTTTTCATCTTAAAACCAAAATGATTGAAAAATAAACTATTTTTAAGCTGAAAGCTATATCTAATGTAAACTGTTTTAGTCAAAAAGAGACTGAAAGAAATATTTATTTTTTTGCAGTGTACATTCAAAGAACATATTTGTAAAAAAATTAGTAAAATTTACTCCGAAAGTGTAGTAAAAGTTACCAGAACTGCGCAGAAGTTTCTAACAGTTTAGATTTTACTATGAAAGTAATAAAAGTTACTTTATATTTTTCTCCTTTTGCAATTTTTAAAAGAAATAAAAAATTAACAAAAAATGCATAATTTTTTTGTTTTGTTTAAAGGGACCAGATTATGACGAGAGTATCGATGCATCAGCATCAGCGGATCGAATAACAGGCTTGCTCCGTCGCTGGGAGCTTGCCAGTATTTCATGCTCGAGTCTAACAGAAATGAGGAGTGTTTCAACAATAAAAAATCACGCGAGCATATTGTATACACCGAGACAGAGCCTAAGTGCCAAGGATCGTGAGGGCATGAGAAATATAATTGGTGGTCGTCCAGAGAGTGCTCCTGTTTATATGACAGCAAATCGTATCGACGGTCTCCAAGAGACGCTCACTGCATCGCCAAATATGCCACGCCACGTTCTTGAATCAATTAGCCAGAGTCCAACACAAAGTCTAAAAAGTATGACACCACCTGGAATGTCGCCAATAAATCAACGCTATCAAGACTACAGGGACAGTAATTATCAAAAAATTCCAAAAATCACCAAAGCAGCAGCATCAGCAGCAGCACAGTACTCGCATGTACAAAATTCCCTAAATGGCGATTTTCTCACTCAACAACAGAATCTTTATCGTGAACAATATCTCCAACAAACCGGTATGGTCACAATTCCATCGCATTATTCCGTTGTTGGCTCGCCAGCTGGAAAAAATAATCCCTACGTTCAACAATTTCAAATAACAAATTCAAAACATTTTCCTGCACCGAGAAAAAGGGACTTTAATGCGGCTCAAATGACGTGACCAGAGAGGGCCCGAACCACGTGATAAGACTGAACAAAAAATATTTAGATGAAAACAAAACAAAACAAAAGCTCTCGGGGAAATTTTCAAAAATTCTCGAGAGGATCTCCGAATTGATCAGCTGCCGAATTTTTGTGAGAGGGGAAATTGATATACTCAATTCCAAGGCATAATCATTTCTCACACTTGAAAAAAAAGAATTTTCATTTTAATTTTAGGTATAGCATTACTCTTGAGATTTCGAAAAATTCACAAGAGAATCTAAAACAGATTGTGACTCCCTTTTTTTCAGTGTGAGAATAAAAGAGATGAGCGAAAAGAGAAAATGATGTTCTCTAAAAAATATATGTATATAGAGAGGGGGAGAGAGATGCTAGGAAAGGCCTAAGGCAAATAGCGCATTGAGAGACGGATTTGGCACCTAGGGCAAATCGTTCAGAAAACTATTTTCAAATATATTTGAGACAGAAAGTCGAATTTATTTGACATTCGCGCCATGATTTACTGCGGTACATTAGTTTCGGAAAAAATATGAAACTGAAAAAAGCATTCACTTAATGAAAATTATTTTATTTGGTTAAAATGGAAACCAACATCTTTTGAAGAAATTAAGTGGGTGCAAGTTGTAGTTTCATTAAAAAATATTTCCATTTCTCGTAAGCATTTCATTCTCTCTAAATCTGAATTTTTGCTACTGATAAAATAGTACGGATTCGTTCACAAATTTGAATTACTAACACTTTTGACTAATTTTTACTAAAAAAAAAAACTCCTATTTACTATAGTAAAACTAAAATTAGTCAAAACTGTTTATTGGTAAACCACTAATTGGTAAACTGAAAAAGTTTTAGTAGTTCTACTAATTCAGATTTAGAGAGTTTGAGAATATTCCTCAAAATACTCTCTAAATTTAAATTAGTAAAATTGCTTACCAATTTCAATTTAGAGAGTATTGAGATTCAAAATTTCTTAATTTTCGATTTACAGGACAATGATTTTTAGTTGAAAAAAAATTATAATCGATTCAATTAAGTAGACGCTGATAATTGGGGTTTCCAGTTTCAGCTATTCATCGAAAATTTATATAAGTTATATATGTAAATTAATAATTTTCGATTCATTTCAAAGTTAATTTATAAATATTTTTCGACTCCTAAACAAAACACGAAGAAAAATGGACAGTAGAGAAAACCACAGTAAAAAGAATTTTTTAGAAATTGTAAAAATAATAAAAAGAATTTTTACGGCATTTGCTAACTTTACTCACGACTAATTTTAAAAATAAAATTGCATTAGCAGTGCTAAATTTCGGACTACTCGAACTTTCTTTTTACTGTGTGTTTTAAAACACAATTTTGTTGTAAATTTGTAAATAAAGGTTTTGTGGACGTTATGTAAAAAAAAAATATTTATCTTTCATTGACTCTGTACCTAATTGACGAACATTGCTATATGGTAATTGTTATACTATCACGACAGTTGCCGAAATAATTGTTCCTATAGTAACTCATCTGCACCACGAAACCTTAAATAAATAATTTTTTTCTAAAGTTACAAACTCTCAAATGAACCAAATTTTTTTTCTGTAGAAATGTTTTAATACTTAACAAGTATGAATAGACTTAAAAATTTATTTAATTCAAATAATCAATTATTTGTATATTAACAAATAAACATTTACTTGATTTAAATACATTTTTTTTGTATCAAATTTTTTTTTTTTTTAATCAATAATAATTTCAGTATTTGATATAAATAAATATTTATTTGAAACAATTCGAGATAATTGACTTAAATAAAAATAATTTAATACACAAGTAAATATATTTATCTGATAATAGACAAGTATTCGTTTATTTGAATCAAAGAAATTTTTATTTGTTAGAAATAAATTTTTTTTATCGTTTAAATAAAATGTAAATTTTTTTTTAAATTGCAAAAATAAAATTGCAAAATAATTATTTCATACAAATAACTAATTACTTGTCTGCTATAAAATAAATTTTTACCTGACTTAAATAAATTTTATTTCAATCAATTAATTTTATTTGAATCAATAATTTCAATATTTAAAACAATTACCATTTAATTGACTCAAAAATTATTTAAATAAATACTTTTCATGAGTTTTCATCATGAGTAATCATTTACTTGAATTAAATAAATGATAAATTAATAATAAAAAATAAAATAGTAATAAAAAATAATGTGGATTCAACATTTTTTTACTTGAAAATTAATTCTTTTTAATTTGACAAATAATTATTTTTATAGAAAAATACAAATTAACAGAAGTACTAAAAATATTTTTGCGTTCATTTGAAAGTTAAAAACTTTAGGAACATTACAAACATAACTATAACTAAACAATAATATTCCCTTTTTCTTCGCGAAGAAATAAAAAAAAAAATGTCAAAGAACAAATAGAAAAAAGACTAAATTAACTAGGTATTTAATACTGAAAATTTTCCTTTTAAAAAATTTCAAAACTAATCTTTCGAATAACTTTGTAATTGATTTATACAAAAAAAAAGTGTAAATTTTACCAATTTTCTAAAATTTTAAATTTGTATTTTATTTTTCATGAAATTTTTAATTTCAGTTTGAATTAAATTGCGGTTTAATTAGATAAAATATTACTCCAATTAATTAGATTAATAATTTCTCAATTAGCAATAATTGGAGACAATTGAAAATTTGACCAATTTTCTAAAATTTGAAATTTGCATTTTATTTTTTATGAAATGTTTAATCATGATTTTAAATTTTATTAAATTTCTCCTTTGCATTTTTAATTAGATATAAAATTACCTCAATTAAAAAAATTTAATAATTGATGGAAAATTTATATTTGACTTAAAATTAATTATTAATTAATTATATGTCCCTGAAAATAGCGTCGACGCTCCATCAAAAATTTTTATTTGAAGTATTTAGAAATAAAAACGTCCACTATTTTCACTTCTTTTATTTCCCAAGGGAAATAAAGAAATTCCAAAAATACATTTTTAACTTAAAATCTTCAAAAAAAATTGTATTCTTTTCGGAGTTGTAAAAAAAATATTTTTCGATGCTTAGCGTCGAGGACAACTTTAGGGACTTATAAATTAATTACTAATAATTAATAATTTATTAATCAGTACAAATTTTTGAAATTATGATATAAAAATTCACAACTCGAGATAAAATTATATCCGAATATTAATTAAAATATTTTTAACATTAATAAAAAATATTTTCTTTTGAAAGAAGAGACTGACTCGTAAAATAGTAAAGAAAATTTACTTTTATCTGTGATTTTAGTTCTTGACGCTCGTCACCATTAAAAAAAATTTTTCATCATTTAAATCAAACAACTATTCCTTAATTTTGAAAAATAGAAATTAAAACAAAAATCCCCCTCTTGTGAAATACAAATAATATTCAACTTTTTCATCTACTAGACTGAGAAATTCTAAACTAAAAGTGTTCAAAAACCTTTTCTATACTTCTAATCAAAAAGAGAAAAAAATGACGAAAATTAAAAATTTTCAAGACTAGGTAAAATCCGTCTCTCCTAAAATTCTTAATAACGGCATTTAGGCTGAACCTTTAAAACGGTATAAGTGCCAAAAAACAATTTTTTTTAAAGTCTAACAATAATTTATGCGTAGAAGATTTTTCAATGTTCGCGTTTTATTGTGGGATAAGTATACTCATTATTTTCATTATTACGTTTTTTTCATAGTAGATTTACGATTTTCTTTTTTTAATTTTGTTACAAATAAAACGGAGATGAAATCTTGAAATAATAAAATTAATATAAAAAAAAATTACTTTTCGAAACGAAAAGAAAAACGGAGAAAAATGAAAAAATATCAAGAGTAAATTGAAATGATGATTTTATGTAAATATAAAATTGTATTGATCAGAGAGGTACCTGGGACTACATATGAGGAATTTTAGATATATATAAATTATATATATATTATATTATATAAATATAAAAAAAATCTCTATGTTTTAAGTGACCGATAAAAGAAAAAATAAAATTTTTGAAAGATCTATTAATAAGAGGTCCTAATATTGTGTATAGAATCGCTGTATATTATATATAAAATTGTACGAATTCGTTAAATTAACTTGATGACTGTATATTTATATGTTGACCATATTCAATATTATACTGATATAATAATATATCTAGTTGATGATATACGAGAGTTTTATATTTCATGTTAAAATTCACTGTGCTGTCAAAAAAAAAGAAAAAAAAACCATTAAAATCGCTTCATTATTTTATCTTTTACTATCTGACTGTATTTTTTTGTCTCGTTGAAACGAATTCGCTTCGTTTTTTTTTGTAAATAAAAATTTATCATTTCCTCAAAAATAGAATTTTTTATTTATTATTTACCAATAAATAATAAAAGGAGTAATTTACTAATTAGATTAAAAAATACTAATTAAATTAAAACCAAATTTTTGTAATTAAACATTTATCATTTCCTCCATGAAAAATAAAATTTTTAATTATCAACAATAAAAATAATAATTTACTAGGAATTAAATTAAAAACTACTATTTAAATTAAAAGTTACTAATTATAAATTAAAAATACTATTTAAATTAAAAATATTATTTAAATTAAAAATTACTAATTGAATTAAAAATTACTCCTTAATTTAAAAACAAGTTATTATAAATAAAAATTTACCATTTCCTCAACGAATAATAGAATTTTTATTTACTAACAATAAAAAAATAATTTACCAAGCAAATTAAAAATTACTAATTAAATTAAAAAATACTATTTAAATTAAAAAATACTAATTAAATTAAAAATTACTCCTTAAATTAAAAACAAGTTTTTGTAAAATAAAATTTATCATTTTTTATTTATTAATCCCAACAAAAAGAATAATTTACTAATTCAATGAAAACGTACTTTTTAATTTAAAAACCAATAATTAAATAAATTAAATGACTAATTAAAAAATAAAAAGAAATTTATTTTAATTTTTTAAGTAAAAAATAATTTATCATTTCCTCAATGAAAAATAGAATTTTCTATTTACCAATAATAATAGAGCATAATTTACTAATTAATTTAAATCCAATTTTTGTAAATAAAAATGTATAATTTCCTCAAAGGAATAAGGAAATTTTTATTCACCATTAATAAAAAGACTAATATCCTCATTAAATTAAAAATTATTATTTAAATTATTCTTATTTAAAAAATTTTTTAATTAAATTAAGAACAATACTAATTATATTAAAATCAAAGTTAAAAGTTTCGAAAAGGAACTAAAAGTGTAAATTTTTTTCAAATACTGCGTCTCTCATTTTATAGTAACGATATTTTTATCTAGCTAATTAAAAATAATAATTTCAAGAAAGAATAAATTATTCTACCGCATAAATAATTTAATGAGAGAATAATGTATAAAATACGTTGGAAAGTGATTTCTAACTGTTGTAAAAAGTACAAGTATTTGTTGACTACACTGTAATCCAATTTAATACTTGGCTAACGAGA